CTCCAGAGTTTGAAACTTCATGCATGTGGATTTCTTAAGAAGTAATCTGAGGGCCCACTGTCATCTCTGCTGCCATTCTGCTTATCCCCTGAGTTACCACTTCACTTTAGGGCTCCTGCCCTATGTCCACTGCAGATTACATGGTACCTCCAAAGAGGTGGGGTAGGTCTAACAGCCCCAAAAGAAGCAGCAGGGTGGTGGCAGCAGAACAGATATGGGAAGGTTCTGATACGGAAGGGTGGGCCAGGAGCATGGATGGCATAAAGAGATGTGAGGCTTCCAAGTCGTTCACAGAGTAGTTTCTTGTAGCTCAGTAACAAGTGAAGACAAGGTGTCCTAAACTGGTGAGGGTGTCCGTGTTCCAGCATTGTGTGATGCTGCACAGCCCTGGGGTAACCCTGGTCATGCAGACACCTGTAAACTGTGTCCTGCAGGATGTTCTACTGAGCAAAGGCCTTGCTTGCAAAGGAGGAAAACATATCAGACCTCAAATACCTTGTTCATTTTTGGGCCACTCATTACAACAAAGACACTGAGGTACTGCAGGATGTCCAAAGAAGAGCCAATGAAGCTGGTTAAGGGTCTCAAAAACAAGTCCTTTGAGTAGTTGCTGAGGGAGCTGGGGGTGCTTAGCTTGAAGAAAAACAGCTCGAGGGGAGGCCCTTACATTCTCTACAGCTACCTGAAAGGAAGTTGTAGATAGATGGGGCTGCATCTCTTCTCCCAAGTAACAAGTGATAGGACAAGAATTAATAGCCTCAAATTGCTCCAGGGGCGGTTTAGGTTGGATATCAGGAAGAAGTACTTCACTGGAAGGGTTGTCAAACACTGGAACAGGCTGCTCAGATCAGCGGTGGAGTCACGGTCCCTGGCAGTATTTGAAAGACCTGTAGACATGGTGTTTAGGGACATGGTTATAGATGGGGCTGCATCTCTTCTCCCAAGTAACAAGTGATAGGACAAGAATTAATAGCCTCAAATTGCTCCAGGGGCGGTTTAGGTTGGATATCAGGAAGAAGTACTTCACTGGAAGGGTTGTCAAACACTGGAACAGGCTGCCCAAGGAAGTGGGTGAATTGGCCATGTAGATATGGCTCTTAGGGAGATCGCTGGGTTAATGGTTGGATTTCATGATCTAAAGAGTCTTTTCCAATCTAAATAATTCTATATTCTGGGACACTTGCAGGTGATATGAAACATGGAAGAAAGGGTGGAAATCCCAGGGTGTTTCAGTGCTCTGTGGGAACCAGGTGCGTGCTCAGGCTGCGGCTAACTCAGCTTCTCACACCTACCATCTACTCAGTCACTCCAAAGCCTGGTGAGGTCTGATAAGGGACTCTTGACTCAGCAAAATGTTGTCATATGACACTGCAGAGCTGGTGCCGTGAATGCTTGTCCATTTAAGCTGTCTTTTATCTGGATGAAAACCATTAAGTTTGAAGGGAGTATTTGTAAAAGAAAGAGTTGCTGTGCCCTCAGAGTCTTTAGAGATGTTTAATGGAATAGATGTGCTTTAAAATCTTACAGAGCTTGTGCTTACATCTCTCAGGGATGAAATCTCTGTTAGAGATTTGACTCTTGTGTGTGAGTGACTTTAAATCCCAAGGAAATGACTTTATTATCCCATGGGAAGGCTTTGGTAATGGTTAACAGTGTGGAAATTACAGACCTGGCTGCCTAATTTCAAGTTGTCTAAGCTCTGAAGTAGAGGGACTGGGTCTCACCCACAATTCCAGGGCCACTGTGCTCATTTTAGAGCCCAGTGCTGCGTCCCTGTCCCCCACCAGCACCAGAATGCAGCAGACTTTTCTTCTCCAGCAGAGCTCCCTAGCAGATGTGGCCAAAGCTGCATCCTCTTTGCTATGGACGAATTTGTGTAGTAGGTTAAACTTTCTGTCCAGTCTTGGTTGCATGAATTGTTGCAGCTGGACACTTCACAGTGTGTCAGGTGCTGTTTCCCTCCCCATTTTCTCCACATTTCAGTTCAGCTAGCCCTTGGGCACCTTCAGTGGTGCATCCAGTTTCCTAGGGGAGAATCTGGAAGGGCTCAACTGAGCGCTCAGCAACCCGAGCATCTCTAGTGTGACAGAATCCTCAAGTGTCACTGGAGCTGCTCAGTAGGGGAACACCTCCAACCTTGGGTACATCTCACCGTACCACTATTCCCCCCACCCAGTTTTCACCATCCAAAAGTCCTGGAAATGTTTTGTGCAAGGGACAGTTGGCCCTTGGGCTGGATCCTGCCATTGGGCCTGTCTCCTGACACTGATGGGACTGCTGTCACTATAGACACAGCAACACCAGGCCTTGGATCTGTTTGTAAGTCAAAGCTCTTCATGAGCCTCAAGGGTATCTCTGTTTACTCCATCTGGCAGTGCTACTGCAAGGTAATATCCAGAGACCTGCATATCCCTTCCTGCAGTCATGGATGCAGCCCTGAACTCAACGTTATCTAGGAGATCAGCGTGGGTAACCAGGGGAGCTATGCTGCTGCCACTCTAGCAGGCTGTAAGGGCATTTCTTCCAGTTTTGTCTCATACAGTAATGGCAGGGAAGCAACCTTCAGGCTTGGCCTTCACTTCCTGACTTGAGGCATGTTTGGAGGCTACTTGCTTGTTGCACCACACTTTTCTTGGAGCAGGACTACCAGTTGTCTGTGTGATAAACTATGGTGTCTGTGAAAGCAGGTAATCCCTTCCTCCCCCTGCTTTCACTGGAGCATGAAAAGATGGGAAATGGATAAACTGAACAGGCAAAAATGTATGCAAAAGTGCAAATTCATTTGCATACCCTCTGCCACGGACCAGGGCATTGCAGACATCTTGCTGTCCACCAGCTACGTCCTGAGTCTCACTTGACCTTAACAAACACATATCTGCCAAACTTCAGAGTCAGTCTTTCTGCACCAGGCAGATCTTCTACATGCCCTGAGGTCTGTGGTAGTGTTAAGTCACTCCCTTCACCTCTCCTTGCTCTGCTACTTGCTTTTGAACCATGTGAAATCAACAAGCAATTCCACCAGTCCCTGGGGAGGACAGCTATCTCTGAATTAGCTGTGTGTAGAGTAAACACTAACCCTGCTACTCACGCTCTGACCTTGCAGGTCTGCCTTAGAAGTGTGTTCTGAAGTTTCTGAATAAATACTCCGTGTTGTGCTGGAGGCATGCGGTTTCCCTCTTCAGAAGAGCCTCTGGATTGTCTGTGTTGTTCTTTCCTAGCCTCTGCACATAAACAGAAATGGCTCTCAGGGCATACACAGAGACGGGTTGTTGCCACTCTGCCTCTGCAGCTTGAGCCATGGCATGGGGCTGAGATGCTGGTGACACCCAGACACCCCCGGGGGGAGAATGGGTCCCAGTCATGCATCCTGCGAAGCTGGGCATAACCTTCCCCTCAGCCCTGGCAGAAAGCTGGGACGGAGCTGCCCTGCAGCTGGGTTGGCAGCAGCAGGAACAGAAAACCCCAGGATAGAAGTAAGCAATACATTTGTATTGTTCACTGTGGAAGTGTTTTGGGGGTCATAACCCCACCAAAACCCTTACCTGTGGTGCAGGGAAGACACCAAGACCTGCAGAGAAGGACTGGCAACACTGGCAGCCAGTCCACCTCTCCCTTGCTATCTGAGCACTGGAAGGGAGCAAACAGGCTTGCAGAGCCCTAGAACACATGATCAGGTGGTGTAACCGCAGCAACTGTGGACAGAGTGGCCAAGCTGTGTCCCCTCCTCTGCAGAACTGGAAAGGGACTGAGAAAGGAAAACAGGGATGATCAAAGCTCTGGACAACCCTGAGCAGCTAGCCAGGCTAGGACTTTTCAGCCTGGGAAAGAGTGAGAGAAAGGCTTTCGATGACAGCAGCTGCCTCTGGGACAGAAAATGGTGGATGCAGTCCATCTGACTGAGCATGGCTGTTTTATGCTCCTCAATACTATTTCGAACTGCAGCATTAAATCTACCAACAATGGCTTTGTCATGCATTATGGTGTTGCAGTGTCCCACCTGGTGGCTCCACCAAGATGTAGAACTGGGTGAGGGGATGATGAATTCCATCAGACAAAGCGTAGTAGCCATGACACTGGCACACCTCCCAGACTCACAGGATGGTCACTGACTTCAGGGAGCATACTTGACCATATGATGCACCCTGGACTCTTACTGAGATGTCTGCAAATGAGACATGTATAGTGTACAAGTATAGTATAACAGCAAGTCATAGCAGCATGATCTCCTCTGGGTGAGCACAGACCCATCCTTGGGGGGTTTCAATTCACACTGAAGCATTTTTCAAAGCTGATCAAAAATCCCTGTAGAAATACAACAGCTGGTGCAGGACTGAAATGAATCCAGGAGGCAAGTCTTGGATTACCCAGTGCCCTATGATCTCTGCCACTGTGAGCAAAAGGGGTCCCCTGCACACATGAGTTGTACAGCCTCATTACAGGTATTTTGTGAAAGGTGAGTTGTGTCCCATGTGGTAGAGGCTGGAGATGAAAGAGCAGAGGGAGCCCAAAGATTACTGGATGCACACTGAGACTGTTACAGTGATAATACGAGAAGTGCAAATGTTATTATTTTCAATTTACATCAGCTCTGGAAGCTGTGATGTTTACCACTGAGCCAGGGACTCCCTGGAAAATTGCCTCCCACAGAAAAAAAATCTGCACTTGCTGAGCACCTTCTTCACGAGGATTTGTATGTTTCTTGCTTCTCCCCGATGGTGTTTCTCACAGGAATGTGGGAGAGAGAATACTCACAGTGCAGAGTGCCCTGGTTTGTGATGTGGACTTGAAATTAATGTTTTGGCTATGCTTTTAGTAGACCTTTATGGGGACTGGCTTGTGATGTTTTCCCTCAGCCTTGCGTAAAAAAATGTGCTGCTGAAATAAGCTTGTGCAAGACATTTTATTATTCACCATAGCTAACTTAAGTGTGCAATCAGCACAGAACACACAGGATCAATTAATCACCTGGTTCTAGGCTCAGGAAAGCTATCAGAAAGTTCTCAGGCATCTTGACACTCCCCATCTTTCAAAATCCGGATGTCTTGCCTGGTTTTCCTAGAATAATATAGGAGAAAAAAAGAGTAAGAGCTCAAAAAACATGCCACAAGTCATACTTTGGCTATGGAGATTACTATCACAAAATTGGCTTTCCCTGTTTTCTGTCTAAAAAGCTGCAAGTCATTCTGGCTCACAGATGTCCCCACCAGGGCCTGAAACAGTGATGGTAGGTCTCCAGCCCGACCTGCTCACAGCAGGGCTGTGCCTGGCATGAGGTTATGGTGGCCATGGCTCTGTCTGAGCCCTAAACACTGTGCCCACCAAGAACAGACACTCCCTCCCCTCACACACCTCCATGGTGCACTACCCTCCTGGGAAAGAGGTTTCCCTGTGTCAAAGCTTCCCTCTGTTAGGGCTTCTGTTTGTGGCTGTTGCCCCATTTTGCATCACCTGTTACCACCAAAAAGAGTGTGGCTCCATCCCATTTGCAACCGTGGGCTGCTACTAGATACCTACAGGCCTCCCCTTCCCCAGACTAGCCAGGTTGCAGCTCCTCTGCAATTCCTTGCAGCTTCACTTGACAAGCTGGTTGCCCCTCTCCTGCAGCCCAGTACACATTCTGTGTTATTTGCCATGCAAGTGCACTGCTGACCTGCAGTGATCACCTTGATCTTCACCCTCAGTCCATTTCTAGCAGGAACCCCTACTCAGACAGTTGCTTCTCAAGCTGGATAAAATCATTGCCCCAAAGCAACCCTTGTGTTTCTCATGAGGCTCTTGCTGTGCTCATCCTCAAGTTTTTGGTGGTACCTATGATTTGAAGTTCTGACAAAAGAGTCCACATAACTGGGCATCTGCATTCACAGATGTCCCTTTGAAGGACTCAGTGGTGCTATTTGACTGTCCAGACCAGATGCCTGCTCCAGCTTTTAGTCCATTTAAGTTCAACAGCTCCCTTGTCTAACTGCAGGAAGCACAGACAGTGGGACCTTCTCTTATCTTCAACAGTGCCTGATTTGTTGCTAGCTTACAGGCACTCATGTTGGAGGGATCTCCTGACCATGCGTTCCTGACCTCACCTCTTGGATCTGCTGATTGTGCAGCTACAGGGTAGTATGATTTAGTAAGCTGATCTGATGGATGAATATTCATTATTTCTGTGGGATTAGTTCCCCTGCCAGCACAATGAGATAAATCCCTCAGCCTGCAGCTGCACTGTACTCCGTAAACATGGTGCCAAGGTCAGGGCAGGAACCTGAAGGCAAGGGCTAGAGGCATGTCTCCACCTTTCTGTGCGCACTGCCAGAGGCTTCACAGCCCAATGCCTGGCTCAGCTGACATGAAAATGTCCTCTTTCACTTTGCCAGCAGAAACACATGTGCTTCCTCTCTGCCATGGCTTTTCCCAGGCACAGGAGAGCCTGAATGACAGTATTTCATGAGCGCCCAGTTTCAAACAACCAGAATTAGACCCAGAAGGCCTCTGCAAAGGGTATGAGCTTACATTTGCTGCACACAGAGCTGGCATTCATTAGCGTAGGTATTCCCATCGGTCCCACAAATAGGCAAGTACAGGAGGGGACAGGCCTGCAGGTCAACCATGTCTTCACACACCGGCTGGAAAGGAGAATCCACAGCATCCATTTCAGTGCCAGCAGCAGCCATCTCTTCCTCCAACAGTGCCCAGGAAGAACCAAGTGCCAATGGCTACCTGGTTTGCTTTGCCTCAGATGGGACAGGGCATGCATACAGGAAGCAGAGGCCACTGCATCTCTCAGTGGGACTTGCAGCCTGGGCTTGATGCAGGATTCATGTTGAAGCACCAATTCCCATGAGGCTGGGGATGATTGCTGAGAACAGTCTTTCTCTCAGGCACACCAGTCATACCCATCTCAAGCCATGAACAGGGGAAAACAGAAACCTCTTACCCTTCTCAGGCCATTCCCTTCATTCAGCTCTGCCCCTGAAACAGAGCAGAGACCCATGAGTGTGGCACACCTGTGACCGATGACAGAAGCATGAGACATCAACAGAGGATAACATCCAAACCGAAGGGAAGGCAGTATTGTGCAGGACCTGAACCAGCTGTACGAGTTTCATGAGAGGGATCAGATTGCTGCATGCTGCCCCCACCCCCTTCCCAGCAGCAAAGGGCACAGCTTCCATCCACAGCAGAGCTGGCTGGGACCAAGCTGGGAACAGCTGTTCCCACCACTAAAACCCTCTCCCAACTGTCCTCTCTTCTAGCCTCTGGACCAGAACCTCCACAGAGCATCCAACACTGCTCAGGAAGTGTGATCCCATGCATTGCTGCATGGGGACATGGGGTATCCTCAGAAGGGTGAGACTGGTTTATGCTGCACAGCCGGACAACAGCCATCCCTAGGGAGAACAGCATTTGGTGGGTTCCTTTTCTACAGTCAGGCAGAGCAATAACAACAGCTCACAGCCCATCTGTGCAGTTACGAATGTCCTGGGAGCATGAGAGCTCACACGCAGGCTGCTGCAGGAATACCACTGCATGCACCTAGGTAGCGACAGTTTTCCAGCACCCACAAACAGGTGCTTTCTGCATGAATATGCTGAGCATATAGCATTCTTGCGAAGACTTTCCAGTCTTCATGGAAGCAGGAACTACAGTAGCTGCCACCCCAGGGTACGTGCTGTCCTCCCCGGACCTGGTTCCTGTTCACACTGTGGAGCCTCCACTATCCCATGCCTCTCCCAAGTGCAATACGGTTGACGAACCAGCCTGTAACTCTTGCCTCAAACTGCTAATAAGGCAGGTACAGTGTGTTTGCTCCAATCCTTCCTCACCACACTGCCACAGTTTGCTTGCTCTCCTCACTGGCTCTCCAAACCAGAGTTTCTGGGTCTTTCTGCCCTGCCACCTATTTTTTGTCCCTCTGTCATTCCCAACCCACCACTGATGAGCCAGCGTCCAGCAGCAGAGTAGACTTACCGCTGGCAGCAACGAGAGTCACCATTGCAGCCACCACCACCAGCAGCTCCCTTGCAGGCATGGTCGAATCAGGCAGACTCGCTCGGGCACCTCACTCGGCTCGTGACTGCCTTTATAAGCAAGGGGACTGGCTTATCTCAGGAGCACTGGGAAAAGCAGCATTTTGATCTGTACTGAGAACAGCTGGACTGTGCACCCAGAGGGATCACTTCGGCACCCTCATGCAACAGATAAAGACACCCCCATGCCACTTCATAGCTTCAGGTGACAGCACTGGAGGCTGCTCTACAATCCCTTTGCACTGCAGTCAGGGTTGGACAATGCTGCTCTTCTTCACTTACTCCAGGCAGATTACTTCTGAGGGTATTTTGCCCAAACCATCCCTCCAGGTTCGCAGACTCTATTCTGCATACGTGGCAGGTATCTCCGTTTGAGCTGTGAGACTACACATGAAAAGACAGGCAATTCAGGTTGATTTGGGTGGCTGTGCTGTGGCCTGAGCATTATCCCATGACACCCAGCCAAGTGGATACTCAGCTGCCTAATGTACTGGGCAGGACCCCAGGAGGAGGATCTCAAACACATGAGAAGGCTGCAGCAAGCCCACACATTCACTCAGTTGGATGGGACAGGCTGGGAGTGCAAAGGGGCTGGAAGGAACAAAATTCAGCTGATTGGGAGCAAGGAGCTGCAGGAACAGTCAGAGGTGGTTTAATACTTTACTCCATTCACCACCTTGATTGCAGCTGAGACCGACAAGCAAAATTATCATAAGATTCAGTGTGATGGAAGGTGGCTGTGGTCAGGGATAGCCAGATTAAAATTACAGAGGTAGCACACAGAGCAGGGAGAGGACAGAAACTGGAGGGGATTCTCAGCTGTAAAAGACACAGTCTTTTCAACAAACATCACCACCCCAGAAGATCCCAGCTGCCTTGCCTACAAGGCTGGACACTTGTCATCAGTCTTTTGGTATGAGCATCCTAATCACCTCTTTCTCAGAAGCTGAATTTTCCACATCTATCCCCACCTTCCTCTGGTGAAACAAAATCAATTGGTGAAGGGTGAAAGATGGGAGAGGCAACCACTATGTGTGAAGTAAATATAAGACCAGTGTTGACTAAGAACTCCTTTGGGACAGATTTCCTGAGAACAGATCTGGGCCAGAAAGGACAGAGGGTCTCCTTTCCCATGGGAGTGGGTAGGATGTGCCATCTGGGCAGGGGGTAGATGTCCTACAGAAAGCACCAGCCAGCTGCAAGAGCTTCAGTCACACAAAGCACGCCCATTTGTACTTGCTGAGGAGCTGACTGTAACTGCGCTTAGGACATTTCTTCCCCACAGTCTTACCTGAGGCTCAGGAAGGTATGCACTGGCCCTGGCTGGCTGAGACAAATGGGAACAGCTAGGTGAGCATTCCTCATGGCCAGAGATATATGGACCCTGCATGAGGCTGCTTCCATCCTTGCCATTGGGAGCTTCTCTCACCCAAATTAGGCTGTGACCAGGTTTTGGGAAGGGGGAAGGTTTTCCTTTCCAGGGTTTCCCTTGCAGAACCATTTCTCTGCTCTGCTGAGGCAGCTGAGCACATGTTTTATATTCCCTCTTGATGGAGTTTACACAGTTCAATAACCTTTGGCTTTTATTATTATTCCACTTTGGAAATCCCTCAACTAAAGTAAATATTTAACTGCATTAGGAGTTGTTCCCGAAGCACATGGGGTCCTGTTGGTCTTGTTTAGTCTAGTACAAGAGAGGCCACGGAGGGATCTGATAGCAACCTACAACTGCTGAAGGGCAGCTGATAGAGCCAGTCTCTTCTTGGTAGTGCCAGATCACAGAAGAAAAAGCAATTGTCACAAGCTGCAGCCCTGAGATGATCAGGTCAGGAGTCAGGAAATAAACCCTACCTCAGACAGTGAACAATCCAAACCAGCAAGGAGGTGGGAGATCTCCACCCTTGGTGGTCTATGTACAAAGCCTCAGGTGCTCTGACCAAGACTTGGTGTACACAAGCCTTGGTGGATGAGCCATTGGAGAGCCCTGCCACTAGCATGATGAGTCCACAGGACACAGCAACTATCATTCTCCAGGACACATAGATGTATTTCCTTAGATTCCCAGCTTGCAAATCTGGTTCTAGCCAAGACTTAACTACATGGACAACATGGAGCGTCCTCCTGTAAGCTGTTCCCATACCAACAGAGAGCACAGCCTTTGGTGAGGGCTATCATAGGCCTTTGCAGTCTTCTTCAAAGCTTTTACTGCCAAAAACCCCACCCAAATGCTGCTTGTAATGCCTCTGGTACCACTGTTGCAGAGAACCTTGCTGTGCCTCTGGTCCCAAGCATGGCCTGGTTCTTTGGATCATGCCAGCAGCAGCACAGGAGCAGCAGTCTGGGGCTGTGCTTCTGGGACATATTGTGTGCTCCAGATCACTCTCCTTGGATGGAGGGCAGCAGGAAACATCTGTATCCCCTCTGTACTGGAGGCAGCAAGGTCAGTGGTACTGTGGAAAAGCTGTTGGCTGATACAAGCCTTGATCTTCCTCACTTGGTTCTTTAGTGATGTTCAAACCCTGCTGCCTTCACAGAGCAAATTAAAATGACACGCTAAGAGATGATGAAGAGGAAATCACCTCTTGCAAACTTGTTTTGTCTTTTCCAGCTTTTCTCTCAAGCACAAGCTTGTACCTCTAACAAAATTCCTGCCTACTGTTTCCCTTAAAGAAGAGGTGGGGAAATTCTTCCCCAGGTGGGACAGGAGGTTTTCTGGGGGCTGCTTGCCCTCACATTGGCCATGCAGCTCCAGCTGGCTCTTCCAGCTCCTCCCTGTGCTTTCATCAGCAAGATGCATAGGACTGGTAAGTATGAAGGTCCTAGGCTTACCTGTGGAGCTGGAGACCTAGTCTCACCACCAGCAAGACAGATAAACTCTGCTGGAGACAGTGGCAACAAGCAATGAAACTTCTACTTCCAGAACCATTCTCATGTTTCTTCCCCTGTGGCATTGCCCCTGCTTTTGTGCTTGTTCCCACACACTCGCTGGCACGCACTGGCTTGTGTCCGTGCACTCACCCAGGATCACTTGTTGCATCATGAGCCCTCATGACGCCTTTCCCTTACCAGGGGACCACAGCTCTGTTTGCAGGTGTTCCATCTGAGTGGGCATAGATGGCAGGACAAATTGGATTGCATCACAATGCTCTTGCCCCATGTCTGCCTGGTGGCCTTATCGGTGGTGTGGCCTTGGTGTCGTCACTGCTCCACCCAGCACCTGCCGTTTCCTCGCAGTTATCTCTTGCCTTTCCTGGATTTCATGGCTGTTTTCAGCTTTTCCACTTGCTGCGCCTGCACTGATATTTTAACTCCTGTTCTGCTGCTCCTCCCAGGGCTTTGGCATACCAGCAGATGCTGGGGTCCCACAAACACTGCAGTAGCCTGGGAGCAGAATGTTGCCCTACTTGTGCAGCCCAAGTCCAGAGTCTGACACCTACCCTCCCATTCGCACAGTGGGGCAAAGCAAGAAGAGGGGGGCAAGGCAAAAAAAGGAGAGCAAGCATCACACTAATCTTCATCCTTAGCTCCCTCCCTGCCTTCAGATGGTTTTAAAGAGAGGATGACAGTCTCTGTTCTGTCCCTCTGCTCAATCTAAATCACAAGGAAGAGAGAGAAGGACCAATTTGTTCTCCTATGAACACAAAAAAAACCCCAAACCAACACCACAGTTGCAAGTGACCAGAGGTTTTTCTTTGGATATACAGTGGAGCCAAAAGCTCACATCTGACATCTCCCTCTGTAACCGGACAGGGGTCAGCCATCACCACTTCCCAGATGTTTTGCCAGAATTTCTGGATTCAAATCTCACCTTTGGCCACCTCCCTCCTCTCTTGATTACTGTGAGTAAATACTCCCACGTGTCAGGCAGTGAGTAATGCTTATTATTTCTTTGTTGACAGAAAAATTTCCCTGTGACACTGTTGATTGCAAAGAACATGAGATGGGAAATAGTCCTGCCTGCTGACACTACCACCAGCAGAAGGTCAGGGCCAAGGTAGCATCAGTCTGGAAAAAGTTAGAATTTCCCTCCAAGCTAGGCAGTGCACTAGACCTCAGAAATGCAACAGTCTAGAGGGAGTATCCATTACACACCTTTTCCCCCTGCTTTAACTGACAGCTGGAGTCAGTGTAGCTGGGCAGAAGTTGCTGCAGTTTGCCTTTATCCAAGGACATCCGCCTCTACTCTCCCTTGTGTTTACCTCTGGCTGTTCAGACATCTGTACTGCAAGACACACTCTAAATCAATCTGTGGTCTGCAAATGCCCTGCAGCTCCTTGGCAGTTTAAGGATGGTGTTGACTTCTTTTTTCCCACATGCTTGCACATGAAGGATGGCTGACCAAATCCTCAGTGCAGCAGATAAGACAGCAGGAAGCCAGGGATTCACTTTTCCCCAGTAAATAGTTGACACATGATATACAAAGCCACTGTGCTGGCATCAGGGGGGAATGAGGCTGTGCCTGTGTGGGTGGGCAGAACTCCGAGCTAACTGGGCTGAGGCTGCTGCAGGACTGTGCCCTCCTGCTCTGAGCTGACACACATAACCTGGATGCTGGTAGCAGCAGTAGGTATATCGGCTGTTCCCAGCATACTGATATTCAGTCTTGCTTATCTGGGAACTTTCACCCACTGTAACATACCAAAAAATCAGGTTTCTGAGTCTTTCTTTTTTTCCTCTGGAATTTGTTTCTGAATGAACAAACCTGTACTGGGCCTGAGCCTATAATACTTTTTCAGAACAGCGTTGCTAATTCCATCTTTTGTGGGACTGAATGCTGTCATCATCCTACATTTAGCATCATGCTGGATTAAAATGAGTGGCACATATGCCAGTTCTCCCTTCAAAGTGACAGCTGCTCTTGGCAAGTTTTTGTGGAGGAGGTCCCTTGGCTTTTTCAGGAAACACCTGGTGTTCCCAGTCTGCCAGTTGCTAAAGCCCGGAAGGCACCCCTTCGGGTACCTGAAGGTAAAAAGGGACACAATGTAAGAGAATCAGGGAAGTC